TTTACTTTGATGACATCTTGATCTATGTAAGTCTAAAGAAGAGCATGGGAGATCATCTTCGACAGATCTTGCAGACATTACGTATGGAAAAATTCTATGCGAACCCTAAGAAGTGCTCCTTTATGCAAACTCAATGCTTTTCCTTAGATTTGTTATTTCTGCACATGGTATTGCAGCTGACCCAGAGAAAATTCGTGCTATTAGGGATTGGCCAGTGCCAAGAACAATTTCTGAGGTTCAAAATTTTCATGGTTTGGCCACCTTCTATAGACGATTTATTAAAGGGTTTAGTTCCATTATGGCTCCCATCACAGAGTGCATGAAAAAAGGGGAGTTTCAATGGATATTTGCTGCAACTAGAGCCTTTCAAGAAATTAAGCACAGGATGACAAAGGCACCCGTTCTTCGACACCCAGATTTTTCTAAGGTGTTTGAAGTTGCCTGTGATGCATCTGGTGTAGGGATAGGTGGAGTTTTAAGTCAAAAGGGTCATCCTATTGCTTACTTCAGCGAAAAACTCAATGAAGCTAAACAACGATACTCTACATATGACAAAGAGTTCTATGCTGTGGTACAAGCTCTTCGCAATTGGAGGTATTATCTATTGCCATATGAGTTTGTGTTATATTCTGATCATCAGGCATTAAAATACCTTCATTCCCAGAAAAATTGAGTGTTAGGCACGTTAGGTGGGTTGAGTTCCTTCAGGAGTATACTTTTGTTCTTCACCACCGAGCGGGTATTGAAAACAAGCTTGCGCATGCTCTTAGCCGTGTAGTTACTGTTTTACAGACTATGAGTGTCCATGTGATTGGCTTTGACTGGATTAGAAATGAGTATGCCTCTTGTCCTGACTTTGGTATCACTTTTCAGGAGGTTCAGTCTAGTAACCGTCATGAGTACATTGACTTCCTCCTTAGAGATGGTTACTTGTTTAGAGGGTCACGCTTATGTATTCCTCGTACTTCACTTAGGGATTTTCTGATTTGGGAATTACATGCGGGAGATTTGGCAGGCCACTTTGGTAGGGATAAGACATTTGCACTTGTTGAGGATAGGTTTTATTGGCCCACTTTGAGACATGACATTATTAGGATAGTGGCACAGTGTCTCACTTATCAATTAGCAAAGGCTAGGAAACAAAACACAGGGTTGTACACACCATTACCAGTTCCACACACAGCATGGAGAGACCTTAGTATGGACTTTGTCTTAGGATTGCCTAAAACAACCCGTAATCATGATTCCATTCTAGTTGTCATGGATAGGTTTTCTAAGATGGCCCATTTCATTTCTTGTACTAAGTCTACTGATGCCTCATATGTAGCAAAGTTATTTTTTAGAGAGCTCGTCCGACTACATGGGTTGCCTATTTCTATTGTGTCTGATAGGGATGTCAAGTTTACGAGTTATTTTTGGAATACACTTTGGAAACTCTTTGGAAGTAGTCTTAAGTTTTCCTCTGCCTTTCATCCTCAAACTGAGGTAGTCAATCGTAGCTTAGGAGATTTGCTTAGGTGTCTAATGGGTGAGAAGATGGGAAATTGGGATTTGTTGTTGCCTACTGCTGAATTTGCCTATAATAATTCCGTTAACAGGTCGACTAGTCTATTCCCTTTTGAGATTGTTTATGGCCATTTTCCTAGATAGCCCATTGATTTATTACCTTTACCTCCTGATTCCTGCCCCTCACACTCAGTCGAAGCTTTTGTCCAGCATATTCATGACTTGCATGCCTACATAAGACAGAAAATTACATTAAGTAATGAGAATTATAAATTGGCTACAGATGTTCATCATAGGAATAAAGAATTTATTGTGGGAGACTATGTCATGGTTTGTGTGCGTCCTGAACGTTACCCTAAAAATTCTTTCAAAAAGTTACATACTCGAGCCACTGGCCCTTTTCGTATTCTTCGTAAACTTGGACCTAATGCATATTACCTTGACTTACCTTCGAATATGAGTATTAGTCCTATTTTTAATGTGGAGGACTTGTTTCCTTATCATGGTACTTTTGAGCCTCCTATGTTTCCAGCAGGTGTTCCTACCGGTGGACTTGCTTCGTCATTAGCATCAACTACAATTCGTATTCTTCCACTGTTTCCACCACAGTTGTATGACCAGATCGCAGATGTACTTGATGATCAGATTGTGGGCTCCTCGGATGGAGGATATCGTCGTTATCTTATTTGGTGGAGAGATCGTCCAGAGACTGATGATTCATGGATTACTGAGGAGGAGTTTCGTCGGCTTGACCATGATCTTCTAGAGCATTATCATGATCGTATCTCTCCGGAGGCGAGTTCTTTTCAGCCGGGGGGAAATGATAGGAATCGGATTATATTTCGTTATAGTAGGCGTATGCGTAAGGATTATGAGTTATTTGTCATTATGCTTTTCAGGGGTTTAGTTGTCATTTTGACTATTTATTTCTTTTAGAGTTCTTTTAAGATTTGTGGTCTCCCTATATATATATATAGGCGATATTTTATTTGTTTTGGTAGACTTTGATTATTGATTATTGATATTGAAGCTTCTTTTTAAATATTCTCTATTCTCATCTCCTTCTTCTTCTTTCCATCTCATCCCTAATACGATCTACATCACTTACCCATTTGAATTTCGCAATAAATTTGTTTGATTGTTCGTTTGTTAGTCCCACGTGTGAGCCTGGTTTTCACCTGAGGGAGAGTATAAAGAGAGATTGTATCCCATATTGAATGATTAGGATCATCCAAGGTGAGTTTGTATAGTGAGAGGGCCTCTCCTCTTGTGACCAATTGGATTTGAGTTGGATGATTTATGATTAAAAGCATACGAGATCATTTGTGCTTTTAGCTTTCTCTCTTTCATTTTGTTGCATCTTGAATTGAATAGAGTATGAGGGATCTACACTCCGTGGATGTGAGATTCTTGTTGCATAGTTAGCTTCTTAGACCACTTTGGAATTTGTTAAGCTCCTTTTAAAAGATCTGCCAAAAACTGTGATACTTAACATAATATGTGATTAAAAGCATAAGGGATTGTTTGTGCTTTTACCTTTTTTCCTGTCATTTTTTAGTAACATCTTTACTTGGACTCTGAGCTGTTAAGCCAATAATAAGAGATTTGCTGGTGTATTTTGATATTCAAAATGAAAATTGCAGGCTAATTGTTAGTTTTCATAGGCTACAGGCTGAACAAGAAAGACTAGAAAGAATAGGTCCAATAGCATACTACTCGGAATGGGTAAAAGCATGGAAGAGAGACACTTCACGTGAAGCTGTTCAAAAACATTTTGAAGAGACTGGGGAAGATGAGAACACCCAACTCATTGAAATGTTCACACATCAAACTGATCGGGAGTACCGCATAATGATGGGGACTGATATTCGTATCCGCAGGGATCCATTGGCAATGCGAATGCGGGAGGATCAAATAAAGCAAAGTATTTACTTCAAAGTCGATAAGTTTGCAGATTACAGACATCTTTCTTTTGGTTTTCCTTCATACTGAAAATCATTCTAATTTAGTCATGAAGCATTTTAAATTAAGTTAATGTTCTATTGCTTCTCTTTTCTTTTGTTGATTTCTACTCTGGCTATTCTATGTAACTTGTTAATAATGACAATCTTTGTGCACCAGATAAATCAGCTGGGGTGGTATGAGTTATTCACTCTATTGATATCATTACCTGCTGCCCTCCTCCCTCTTCCTTCTGTCTTTATTTTTCTATTTGTATGTATATATGTCATTTCTTCTCTTTTAATAGTTTTTTGGGATCAGTAAGCATAGCTTCATCTTGAGAGATTTAGTGGGTTTTTTCTTGTGCCTTCATACCACATTACACTGTCCTCTACCCTTGCTGTGCGAGTTACACGTTTCCACTTTATCCTCTCCTTATTTTCATTATGGTAGACTATTAGTTAATAAAACTAATATTTCATTTTGTTGTACTTGTGATACTTCCAGTTCTATTTATTAGTAGATGCAAAAAGATGTTGAATTTGCGTCATGTTTCCCCGTTTGCTTGACCTTTTTTACTGTGGTTGGCACTTCAATAACCTGTTGGCCTCTTGCAGTATGGGGTGGAGATCCAGTTTACCCAACTATTAACTACATTCAAGATCCAAATGAGGTGATTGATTTCCGGGGTCCAGATTTTCACGAACCCACACCAAATATGCTGGCTTATCTTAAAGAGGTTAATGCTAAAAACTCTAAATGTTCAATTCTCAAGTCATTTATCCATCATCTAATGTTTTTTTAGAATTTTTTATTAAGTTTATTTTAGGCAATAAGTTGCTTTATGCTTTAATGTTCTGAGGCCCTTCATGTTTGGTGTGTATATGATCCGTATGTACCATTGAGTAGTTGTACCTATACATCAAGAGCCCTTATGTCTCGATTCCATGATTTTAAGGACTTGAAACAACACCTTTCTCCGAAGAACATAATCTATTTATTTGGGGCCACAACATTTGTCAAGATTCCAATGAAACATTATGGTGCGCAAGTTGACATTTAAGAACTGTATTTCCAAAGTATATAAAAACTGACTTGACAGGCACGCCAAGCACTAATAATAGATTTTGTTTTAGATTTAGTGCGTTTGAGAGCATGACTTTTATCTGATCCAAATTAATTAATGTGAACTGTGAAGTTTAGATTGTCAATCAGTTTCATCATTTGATAGGCCCAAAATATTCAACTACAAGTATTTCTGAAATCAGACCTCTTCTGCTTTATTACCTAATGTTATAACTGAATGACAGATTCACATGGTTGCCAAATGGTGGCTGTTGTTGAATGCGTTCAGCTTCTGCAGCTTTGCTGTTATGCTCTTCAACTTTGCCTTCACTGGATACTTCTGATTAGATAGCGTGAAAGATAACTTCATTAGGAGTGACCTTGGGAATGCCAGGACAAAAAAGCTTCATTATTCTGTATTTCATCATGTTTGCTGTAGTGCCGCTCATAAAGTGCACTGTGTTTGGTGTATTGTCCTTATGCTTGTCAGAATGGTCTCTGTACTCTTCTCCACGTCCACCACCTCTCTCTCTCTCTCTCTCTCTCTCCCTCCCCCCCCCTCCACACCCCCATATATAAACACGACTTATTTTAATCCTGACTCCTAACATGAATTACTAAACAAATATGATTGTTAGCTGCAGTATTTGTATTCAAGTAAAGTCTCAATAAGTTAACATACTGAATTATTCCCTCATATTGGGTGTATAACAATTCTGTTCAGCATGGCAAATTAATATCAAGAGATGAGCTTGAGAAAATCCTGGCCAAAGAGAAGACGGAAGAACTTGAGGTGACGACTTACACCTATGCACTCTGCATCATATTTAGTTTTTGGTATGATTGATATTCTTATATCATTTACTATATATATATATATTTATTTATCTTTCCCTACAAACTTTCTCCTATCATGGGAGATTTATGCTTACAGATCCCTTTATTCTTCCTGTTTTCGTCTTATTGTAATGGAAAAAGCTCAAGCAGCCATTGAATATGTCTTGATTGTCCAGCAGTGGCAAGGTGCTGTGTTCATGTCCCACTTAGATGGTCCCATTGCCCATTAGTTTAATCACTATACAAATTCCAAATTTGTGTCATGAGCTTCGCTGTGTATCTTATGACAAACTTTGGAGTGGACTCTGAGGTATACTGTGAGTTAGAGTCCCAAGAAGTCTATAAATCAGCTCATCTTAATAGGTGATGCAAGACGAGAACAAGAATATCAATTAGCTGGAGAATGCTCCAAAAAAGAGAGAGAAACTCAGGACGAAGTGAAAAAATCACCTTACTTAGTACTAAGAAAAAAAAGGATTGAAACACCTCCCATGCAATTCGTAATCCCATTCTATATCAAGGCTTCTTTAGATCATACATATTTGCCCTTTTTATTCCAAACCCCAAAAACCTAGTTAACACACACCAAAAATAGAACATAACAATATATAAAATCCAAATTTATGAAATGAACCCATAGATCCTAAATTTCACAATAATACAAAAATAAATTATAAACTGTAATCCTAAATTTCACAATACTAGAATAAATTCTAAACTGTAATCTTCAGTTTCTAGCTTTATCTAACTTATTTTTGATCCCCATCAATAGGCTGTTCTTCAGTTAAGGATCAAATTTCGTTTCGGTAAATAGTTTTAATCGGTTCAGAAAAGGACATGTTTCAAAAAAAAAAAAAAATGAACATACAAGAAATTCAAAAACTCTGTTTTTGAAGCATTCCAAAACATGTGCCAAAATATAGCAAAACACCTTAGAACTTTCTGAAACACTTTGAAACATTCAATTGCCATTTTTATTTGATTTCCATGGAAATTCAAACATTTTGGTCATTTCAATTAATTAAATTTAGATTCTTGTTTTCAGTTGATATGCTGGACAAGGAAAGAGCTTCCAAATGAGTTAAAAAACTTCTTATGTAGCCTAAGCTTACGATCTGTCCAGTTGATGGATACCTTGGATTTTGTCAATCGTGCTAATCATTCCTCGTGTTTGAACATAATTCTATGGAAGTGAAATATTTTGCTTCACAAATGAATCAAGTTTTTTAAAATTGGGATCCTACCTTGGATTGATTAGGGAGGCTAAAGGATTGAGGTCGGAGGATCAGATTGAGAATCATAAGATCCTATTAATTGAAAAAATGAGACGAGAAATATATGCAAGGATAAGAATGGTTAAAGATAAGAATTAAACAAACCTAGTATATATGCAAATAGAAATATTATGGCAAATATGAAACTTAGAGATATGATTTTAATTAAAGAGGGTTAAAACTTAAAGGTGTATTGTTTATCTTGTAAAAGGGAATAGTAAGATTGAAGTATTGTGATCTTAACTTTCAGAGAGAGATGGATAGAGGAGAGAGGAAAGTTGAGAGGCATTTGAATGAACAACTTTGACTGTTTGATACTTACTCAAAAATAAAATTTGAGTGGTTGACATTCAAACAGGAAAAAAAAATGGAAGAAAATGAAAAAGAAGACTATATGACTATGATCCCTCGCTGAAAGAGTAGATCAAGTGTAGCCGTTGTTTTTAACTTTACAATGAGAGAGACCACGGATGAATGGAGCTTTCTATAACGAAGAGAACTTTCTGTAGCTTTTCTCATTGTCAAACTTCCCAATAGACTGAAAATTATATAAGATGGTCACATTTGGATTCAATCTTTTATATTGAAACATCAACTATGAATTGGGTTAGCTCAATAACTAAATGTGCCTAGAAAAAAAACCTACAACTTGGATTGGTGAACTTGCACTTTGGATCGGGTTCTTATGATCTATAAGATTATGATCACGATTCATTAGGATTCTATGCATTAGGGAGTTCGTTAGAGACTCTTATCGACTGGTTTTGTACCGAATCGTAAGATCCTACAATCTAGATCTGGATTTTAATAATCATGAAATGAGTTTTACTGATGTCTTAAGTTATAACCTCCCTAAAAACTTATATTTTTAGAGTAATTGATGATTAACATGATATTAGAGCAGCATAACCTCTTTTTGAATATCAAGTACAGTTTGTAATTTTTTATATTTCAGATGACTTATCCATTGAAATACTTGAATAATGAAGTTTACATGATCTTTTGGGCAACTAAGATTTATTGATTTGTTTAGGTATTTCGTACTATCTATTTAATTGTAATTTACAATAGGTTTGTTTATGTGATTATTTTTTATTTTTAAATATATCTATGTCATCTCAATTTTATCTTATCGCATCTTAAAATATAAAGTATATTTATTCACGTATCTTACTGTATTTGTATCCTACTCTTTTAGATTTTGTTGTATTGCCTTGTACATATGGTGTTGTACTTCCATATATGTATTCATGCTTCCTAGGCCATCACCTGGATCTTGCATGTGTTCGGCCCAAAATCTAACGGGTACATGAAGCGTGGTGTTGAATTAATAAATACTTATGTAATTGGTGATTAACAATTTCTTGTGACCTCAAACTCTGGCGATTTCCCGAGGGGAACCCTCTAATTTTTTATGGCCTTTCTCTTTACTTTTAATTTTTCCTTTTGTTCCATCATCTCCCAAGTTGCGTCTCTTCTACAACAGGTAACAGATATGGATGAAGCTATGGCACGAGCTGTTGATATTGGCGAAAATGATGTGAGTTTTATCATCTCATTAGTTTGTCTGGATATTATTTTCCCCTTCAAATTATTATGTTTATGCTTCGTGAATATGGTTGTGTGGGATAGTGTTTTACGCGGATTAGGTTGGTTGCATAGGACACTATCTTTTTATGCTTACTTTGCAATAGGATGAAGGAGAGGACAGTGAGGTTGATGGTGATGATGAAGATGAGAAAATCACCCGGAACTGGAGTGTTCTAAAAAGTACTCCTGAGCTTCGGAAGTCAAAGGTAAATGGTTTCTGATGAATCCTATATTGCTACATGCTTTTATTGTATATATGTTTTTGTATGGATGATTGTGAATTATCCTATTTTTCGCATACACTTGGGAAAAGATCAAATAAGAGAGTGTATAATAGCAATGACAACATTAGGAAACATCCCTGATGTACACCTCTATGAAATTAGTTTTTATGTTAATCATGCAACGTCTCTGAACTCTGATAGGAGGGCTAAATGAAACATTTGAATGCTCTGAATTTTGCTAGTCTTGTTGAGAATATTATCCAAGCATTAATGTGTTAAAAAAAAACTCCCTTGTTTCCTACTAGTGAGCTGCAGAATATTGCCTCTCTAATCTATCATTCATACTCTTCTACTTGCAGGGACAACCTAAGAAGGATGACATGTCTCTAGGAGAAGCAGTAGATGACTCCGAGAATTTAACTGATTTTCTTTTGGACTTTGAGGAAAATGAGTGATGTATCTCGCCTTGTGAACTTTTTGAGGTACGTTTGGAGTTAATAAAGAGAAAAAGAAAGCCAAGAAAATGATCCAGAATATATGGAAGGAATCACAAGCTGAGACATTCAGCAAACACACAAGTTCACAATGTAAACTCATCTGGTATACAAAAGGAGGCTTTAATTAATCCTGTAATAGATCTCCTGCTTATCAAATTTTGATGCAAGAACATGAGACAATATTACTAATGCGTTCCAAAAGAAGCTTGAGAAGGAGCAAATTTGAAAAGGGGAAATTTTTAAAAATTGGCTTGGTTAATGGTCAAACCCTTCCCCTTCCCCTTCCCTTTCCCCTTTTTTTTTTTTAAAAAATAAAAAAAAAATAAAAAAAGGTCAAACCCACTTGGGACCTACTAGGATTAAGTTGTTCGTTTGAGTCTAGTCCCGTCTTATGGTGCTCTTTGGACAAATTTTTTGTTAATTTAGTGTATTTGGTAAATTTAGAGGTTAGGATAAAAGGCTAAACCACGGGTTTTCTGTATAGTTCTGAAATCAAGTTTCATATTGTGAATATTATTGTTGCATTTTTCTTGGATCGAGGATCACATCGAATTGGAAATTGTAAGATTGTGTAAGGAATTCAAAAGTCGATAGTATAACAATAAAAATATAACTAAATTCAAAATGGAGGATATTACAGTATATTTCACAATAATTATAAATATGGGCATAAGTGTTGATTACCAATCCTATTTTTTATGGCTATATCTATGTACCTGTGTTCGGGCTTATTTATTTGTCAGGTGTTTATTATTTTCTGAAATGATTCGAGGTCTTTTAGGTGAATTCGTTTGTCTCAAATAAGTGTCTCTCTCTTTCACAATGACCCTCTCTCCTCTTCTCCTCCTCTTCTGTGCATTGCTCAAAGCTAAGAAATTGAACAACAATTTGTTGAGATTAAACTAGGGTCAAATACAGAGTGAATGAATTATTCATTGTCACCCAGGAAAAATAAAGTTTCAGGCAGGTTCTTTATATGGTGGAATTAAATGGTTCAACACACTTGTAGAGTTGTTGATAGTTTTATGAAGGATTCAACTTTGCCTTCGATTTTAAAATGGTCTCTAAACTTTCAATTGTCTCAATTTAGTCCATAAATTTTGTGTCAATAAAATCCTTTCCATCATTTCATTCGTTGGAACTAATGGTCCATTACTCTCGGTAGAAGTAATGACTTGGATGTACTGATGACAAACACATAAGTTTGTCTCAGTAAGTTCTAACGAGTGAAATAGAGTAAAGGATTTTATTGACATGAAATTGATAGTTCAGGGACTAAATTGAGACAATTGAAAGTGCAGAGATCATTTTAAAACCTAAGACAAAGTTTAAGGACTGATTATCATATTTACTCTTTTATGAAACATTGCATACAATAGGGCTCCAATTGTTTTGTTTGACACTGTTCAGAAATTTTGCCCATTTTATTTAGGGTAATTTACAATTTATACCCTTAAAGTATGCACATAATTTCTATTTGGTCGATGAAGTTTCAATAAATACAATTACATTCTTCAAGTTTTTATTGAGTTTCAATGAAGTCTTGCCATTCAGGTCTATTAATTTGTTTCGACAAAAAGATGTTAGAGAACTTGCCCATAAAGGTATATTTGTCTAGTAAAAAATATATCTCTCAAATACATCAATATTTCTCTCTTTGACTCACAATATTTCTCAAATTCTCACTCTGCATTTTTTTTGGGTTTGTTATTCTTTTTTTCCCCTCAAAATCAGATAAATAAAGTAAAGTTTTCTAGCGTACATGTAACAAAATTTTCACCGTACAAATATATCATTTTATTCAAATCATGTGTTGTTCATGGAAGACAATTCTCTCATTATAAATTGGTGAATCTTGATGTAAGGACTAAATTGAAACTCAATTAAAACTCTACGGACTTCATTGCAATTGGAACTTCAAGAACCAAATAGGAATTAGGTGCATACTTTAAGGCTGTAAATTGTAGTTTACTTTTTTTTTTAAATTCAATATGAGGAGCATGTTGCTTGATATTCGTGTTTTTCTGCAGTCATTCACACATGTATCTGTTTCTAATGTATGACTGGTATATGAAGTGCATGCACCATTTCCCTTTTTTCTGTTGTAAGAATTAAGATGTGCAGTAACAAATATATAACTTTTGTGGTGGCATGAGGATAACAATATAGAGTCAAGGTGATCTCCTGTTACGGTCTTTTTTTTTATTTAAGATCGGATATAAGACCAAAAGATTGCATATGTTCAAAATGTTGTATTGTATTTATCGGGAGATTTCTTTTCTCTATAGACTTTCTAGCCCTCATTTTGGCAACAAAGTGAGACAAACATACAATGGGAGTGACTGAGGCCTGCCTATATAAGAAAGAAACTCATACCTTAGTTTTTTAGTCGCACAAATCTGTTCATGCCACTTATTTGTTTCCCATAAATTATTGTATGGTTGCAGAATAGGGATATGGGTCCATTCCGATGGCTGAAGGTGTACAGCTGCAAATTGGTTCTTGCTTCTATGGGAAAGGTACTCTGTTTATATGTGGGATTCTTGAGAACTATAACTGTTTTTTCAATTGGTTAGACGAGATAATTGCGAGTTTAGTCGTGCTTTGCCTCTGCTGCATGTGCCAATTGCACCTGGAAAGAATTGTTACTGGGAGGGAGGCTCATGATTTGTTGGAACTTCAAGAGAATTTTATTTTCTTCACTCTCCCCTCAGAATGTTTCTGGGAAAGTTTAACCCCTGTTGTAGTAACTGAACAGTGAACAGCGAACAGCTACTCTTAAGAATACAATTGCTAGAGGTTTTCATTGCTTGATGGAAGTTGGTTTTCTTGTGGTAGAAACAGTTTATATTATTGTGGTAATAATTTAAAAATGAATGTATGTACAGTGCAACTGTACATACTTAAATTGCCACTTTGAGCCTGTACTTCGATAAACTACTTGGCTGAGTTTTTTTTTTTTGGGTGGGGGTTGTGGAATTGAATATCTTGCTACTTCATGGGTTTCTTTTGGTTGGAAAGAACGAGTCATTTCTAGTGTGTTGAATCTGCTGCTTGTGGACAAACAAGGGTAATGAAGAAATATTTATTCTATAAAATAATCAATGATCAAAGTTTCATTTCGGTGACCGAAAGCGGAAGCAATTCGAATATGTTTCGAAACCATTTTGAAATAGAATTAAAATAGAAAGAAAATTTAAAATTTTGTTGTCGAAATCCCTTGGAAATTCTTTGATATTCAATTATTGGTTTGTTTTGGTTTTCATAGAAACAAAAATATTTGGGCTGTTTCAAAATGAAATTTTAGTCCTTGTGAAAGGCTTCCCAGACTTGGTCTACTTCTGTATTTCCGACTACAAGCTGATATATTCATGACTGCCATTTGCTTCTTTGGTGCTTTTCTGGCCCAAAGGAAACAAGTAATAAACAAGAGAATAACAACACTCCTCTCATCTCAAATGTTTGGTTTCTTGAAAAACCCTAGAGGACTGGAGTTCGATTCTGCTCATAAGGTCGTCCATAGGAATTTATCTTGGTAATTGTCCATTATATTACATGTCGAATTGTGTATAAGAGGATTACTTGCAGTGCTCGTAAAGACCCAAATCTATCTCAAGTAGTCAAGTTTTTCAACCAGCAGCCTCTCCTATAATATTTTTGTTAGCGATTCCTTTCTTAGGAATAGGTGGTTGTTACTAGTTGATAGTTTTGCTTTCATCTTCATTATTTTATCTTTTTTTAATTGATATTGTAAAATAGGTCTAGTTACGCGTCGTGATTGCAATGCAAACTCCATAAGTATGCAATTACCAATAAAACATGAGCATTGAACAAACTGTGGCAAAAAGTCAAACTTAGATGGATAGTAATACATAAATGCACAAGTATACTTGCAACCCCAACTTAAATTGTAACAAAGATGAATTATAAATTTAGACATCCTGAATTTAAATTTTAACAAATTTTTGGGATCAGTTCACAAGGAATTTATTCTTCATGAATTACTTTGTCCTAGCGTGGATGGTCTGCTTTTGACTGGACAGAAAAAACGATTAGTTGAGATGTGCGTAATCTGGTCCAAACATCTTGATTGTTGAAAAAAAAACAGGTATATTTGTGCATATATGTATTAAGGTCTATTGAATTGTTTAGAAAAATGTCATGAACCCAATCTGTTTGGGCCTCTCTCTCAACGAGATATGTGAGAATCAAGTGAGGTCTTCAAGATGTGTTATGCTTAGGTGTAGCCATTTCAGAAAGGAAAAAAAAAACGAAAAAGGTTATTACTCAGTTTGGTTCACGTCAATAAAAAATGCAAGATCTTTTTTTATTTACTCATAGACATTTTTGAAAAAAAAGTTAAGTACATAGTTTGATTCTCGTTAATCAAAGATGCTACGAAGGAGTGTCTATAAAAAAATTGTACTACTACTCGGCATATGCCAAATCGTTGACATTATTTGCATTAGGAAGAATTTTACGAAAATATTTGAAAGTTATTCTTTAAATAGTGAATTACTACTTGTGAATCATATTGCATTGAGGGTGAAAGCCTCACCAAATATTACATTGAGTCCTCAATGACACCCAAACTCTGTAACGATGAGAGTTTTGTATATTGAGTACACATTTTTATGCTAGTTATAAATGTCTACCCTTTCTCCGTCATACCCATACTCCGAGGTATCAATCATATCGTCCGATGAAAAATAAATTTCACATCTCACAACTTGTGCGAGATTTGTATTCCTTTTAATATTTTTTTTTTCAGTTTTAGATTCATATATTGGTAGAAGACCTATTTATATAGAGCGAGTCTGCATACATTCATTCTGAGTGAGTGATCTACCATCCACGGGAATTAAAAAAAATATATTAGAGTGAATTTTAATCCATAATAATCATTAATCAAAAGACACAAGCCAGGTGTACCAAAACACAAGCTCATTACCTTCTCCAAAAAAAAAACTCATTCTCTCTCCCTCTCTCCCTCTCTCTCTCTCTCACACACACACACACAAAAGATTACAAGGTAAATTTCTTGAACATGAAATGCATAGTTTTAAAGTTGATGCTTTTTTTTTTTTTTTGAAAGTTGTGAGCAAAATTCTTGGGATCCCATTGAAGAAAGAGTATCCTTTTTGGCTTTGACTAGGATTTCTCTTATTGCAAGAAGATTTCCACTCCACTCTTTTGCATTTGAATCTTAAGCTTAGTTTTCTTTTTGCCAATGGTGGCTTCCAGAGGATATTAAAGTTATGCCAAAAGCCTATAGGCTGTCAAGGGGGTCTCTCATTACCCATTCTTAGTCACCCACCTTAATCTATTCTCCCATGGCCCACACTATCTAACTGATGGCTTTGCAAGATCTTAAAGGTGCTTCATATAATTTTCTTAATTCACAATTCCTCTCTCTCTCTCTCTCTCTCTCTCTCTCTCATATGTGTACACACACATCTAAGTGATGCCTTTGCAAGATCTTAAAAGTTCTTCATATAATTTTCTTAAATGCACAATTCATCTCCCCCCCTCTCTCTAACACACACACACACACATATATATAATCAGAGTTTAGACCAATAATAAGTATTCATTTGTCATAATATATCGATTACAGACCCGCTACAAATAAAATCTTGTGTACCAAACAAGATCTTTATATATACATTCATACATATACACACAGGCATACACACACCCACACCCACACATACATATACAAATAAACCCCACCATATGATATACATGTGCATTAAACCCCACCACATGCTCTTCATTACATATGTTCTGGAGATGGTCCCCATTATATGCATATATTCTAACTTTGCACCCCAAAAATTTGAATGCATCAACAAATGATATCACTCAAAAAAAGCAAACAAATGATATCCGGATCTAAGTTTTAGAATCTTTATCAACACTTTGTCAGGTTCACAGGCACTTTGCAAGCATTTAATATAAAGAGAAAGGATATGGTATTAGTACCTAATCGAAAATTATAAATTTTTAAAATTAAGTTATAATTTTTAAAAAACATAATTGATCATAAAAGGTTGTGATCAATACAAAGAGTTCAAAATCAATCATGGGTGTCTATGATCGATTATGGCCTTCCCTTGAATAGTTAATAACTTCTGATTTCAAAGTTATAATTTTACGATAAAAAGTGATAATTGGTAGTACCGGTATGGAATTTTTTTCCCCGAGAGTTTCCCTATAGCTAATACAAAGATAGAAGAAGACTTGCATAATTTTTTCACCTTATTCTACAAATTTTTAAGTTGCATGAATTTTTGATACAATATGAGAACTTTAGACGAGTCATTATCTTATAATCCTATTGTCACCAAAACACACTTATCTATGAGATTTTGTTGAAATTCAGTTTATTATGTTGAAATTATCACAGGCCGGTGGGTTACTCGGTTTCAAAATATGAGAGAGAGAGAGAGAGAGAGAGAGAGAGAGAGAGAGAGAGAGAGAGAGATGTGAAGGCTTGGCTTGGATTTTTTTTCATGTGGGCAGATGATATAGAAATGATTAGAGCTGTCGGTCAGCGTAAACAACAGAATTAGAGCAAAAATTGCTATTTAGTTATGGATTTGCTGAAAGTCCCTCTTCAGTCAACCAAAACATTATCAAGAAAAGAACCAAATGGATTGTTTTCTTGCCTTCCCCCCCGGCCCCTCCCTCCTCTTGTGGACATGAAAACTAACTAAAACCATCTTGTCAACCCTCTTTAATTTTCTCTTTGTCTCTCTAAGTAATATCAAAATTGTTGTTCAGACCTAACTTAAAAATCTAATTTATTTAACTATATACACTGTTATCCAATCTATTAGGAGTGGGTGGGTCCTAACATTCGATAAAATTCATTATACATCTACCGACAATAATATATTTCGTTTCTAAATCAAGCACGATAGCATTATACGTCCCCTCATGGGGGCCACTAATGACTAAACCCTTTTGTCATAAATCATCATTAGTCTCTGCTTTTTTTTTTTTATTCAATGATTAAAAATATTTGGTTCAGTTTACGTACATCTCGACTAATTTCCTTTCCATCTGTTCAAAGACAGATCATTCATGTCGGGACTAAAGCATTTAAGAGGGATAAATCACTCATAACTTGACTCCAAGAAACTACTAAAATTCAAATTCAAATTCAAGAGATCAAAATTTTTAATTCATCTTTATTAACACTTCAAATACTCGTTTGATTTCATTAGTCTCCCCTTTCAACCTTTCACTGTCGTCTAATTATCATGGTCTTACTAAGAGGAGCACTTGGGCTCCACATTAATCATCTTTTAATATTGATTTGAAATTTGGGCCCCACACCAATCATGTTTTAAGATTGATTACCACGTGGGCTCCACACTAATCATCTTTTAATGTTACCTCAGCATTAGTGTCAATTACTTGTCAAATTTGTCTCTAATCTTTTGTATGATAGATGCCAAATCTTAGTTTCTTAATTTATCAGGACAATAAGCATGAAAGTTCATCCTTGGCTTTCAATATTCAATTAAACCTCTAAAAATCAAATACCAAAGGCTAGAAAGTCAAAGTAGAGGCGTACACACGCACGCAAGTATGATATGATATGATAAAATTTATCATATTTTATATATATAATATTTTTGTAATGAATAATTTTTTTTCGTCTACACGTCTTTTTAACATATTATTGCTCATTTCCAATGCATATACGCTAAGCGTCCATTTAGATGGACGATAATCTTAGTTGGAAGTAGAAATTAAATTTCTAAATTACCATGTTCAGATTGTCAACTAATTAGTAATTTAAATATGGAATAAAGTACTATTGTAATCAAATTCCTAATGAGGGTATTGGTCCTAAATTTGCGGTTAATTATTATTGATGGTGTCAAGACTAAAACCTATATAGAAAACAATTCTACAGCGCAATAGG